TTTTTTTTTTTTCGACATTGTCACTAATTTTATGAGCCGTCGAAAATCTCCAGCTTAATAATATTTTCCCCTAAGATTTACTACTTGTAAAGAGACGCATGACAATTTTAGCATATGAATAATCCATAAATCTTCATTAATAATCTACATTGTGATCCTCCGAAATAAAATAAATTTGGATATCTTTAATAATACTACAAAATATATATATGGGCGGTATTAAGACATGTCCACGTTAACACGTGTTGCCTCGATGTGATTACTTTTTTTCTTTTTATTTTAAACATAAATTAATGAATTGAAAATTTTGTTATAAAAATAGAAGTTGGTTCATAAAATTTTCCACTGACCAATTCTCAGGTTTGCTTTTTCACCATATATTGATAATTTTCTCCTTTCAAGAAATTTCAACTATGACAAAACCAATTATAACAAAAAAACCCGGACGTACTCTTTCAAGACAAGAAGTAGAATCTGCTTTAAAAGACTTCACATTAAAAGTAGCTAATGAAACTTACGAAAAATCCACTTCTTCTTCAACGGATTCGATTTCATTATCTTGGAAAGATGTATCATATACAATAACAGATCCAAAATCCAAAAAAAAAAAACATATCGTAAAAAATGTTAGTGGCATTGTTGAACCCGGTGAAGTTTTAGCAATCATGGGACCTTCTGGAGCCGGTAAATCCTCGTTCTTGGACTTATTGGCCGGACGCAAAGATCCAAAATCCGTTACCGGTGAAATTTATCTTAATGGCAAACCAGGTGAAATTAAATACGTATCAACTTATGTAATGCAAGATGACGCTTTAATGGGTAGGTTCAACCTTTATAAGTGCATTGTTAGCTGTTTACTGCGGTGTTTAACGGATATACTGCGGATTACTTAGGTGTTCTTACGGTGCGGGAGAATATTCAATTCGCTGCTGATTTATGGTAAGCTAACTATCATTGCAATTACCTTAAAATTTTACCCTTCTAAAAATAACCCTTTTTTCTCCCTCCCCAATGTATGCTTTAATGAAAAAGTTTCCCAGCCGAATTCTCAGATGAAGATAGAAAAGCACGTGTCCAAACCATAATAGAAGAATTTGGATTAGATAGAGTAGCTGATAATAAAATTGGAACAGTATTTGTTAGAGGTATAAGTGGAGGAGAAAAACGTAGATGTGCGATAGCATCTCAAGTTCTCACTTTACCTAAAATAATATTTCTTGATGAACCAACGACCGGATTAGATTCGGCTGCGGCGTATAACGTAATGAATGCCATTGTTGATATGGCAAGGAGACATAAACTTGCGGTTATAGCAAGTATACATCAACCATCCACAGAAACTTATGCTTTATTTGATAAATTATTATTGCTTGGACGTGGTAAAACTTTGTATTTTGGTAAAAGAGAGAATGCTATATCTCACTTTGAAGAATTAGGATTCGCTTGTCCACCTTACGCGAATCCAGGAGATTATTTCTTGAGATTGGTAAATAGTGATTTTATGAAAGATATAAGTGAAGCTGAACAACTCATTACAAGCTTCAACGTGTCTTTCTTAAAATCATCTTATAAATTAGAAATTGACGCACAAATTGACGATTTAATCTCCAAGTCAGATAATGAAAATTTTGATAATGAATCAATTACAGAGGATACTCCAAGAGGATATCCTCGTAATTTCTTTGCACAGACCATGATTATTATGAAACGGTCTCTCAAAAATTCCACAAGAAATATATTAATGTATTGGATAAGAGTAGCGATGTATGTTAGTTTAGCAATATTGATGGGTTCAACATGGTGGCAAGTTGGATATGGACAACAACATATAGGTGATAGGTTATCGTCCCATTTCTTTTCCGTTGCGTTCTTATGTTTTATGAGTGTAGCTGGTATACCAGGATTTTTGGAGGAACGGTTGGTATTTCAACGTGAACGTTCAAATAGGTTTTATTCTGTTGGTCCATATGTATTAGCTAATACATTAATTTCAATACCATTTTTAATGATTGTTACATTATCATTCTCTGTATTTGCTTATCCTATGATTGGTTTGCACGGTGGTATGGAAAAAATTACCAATTTCTTGGTATTTCTCTTTTTATCTTTATTGGTCGCTGAATCTATGGTTGTTTTTATCTCCGCTGTTATACCAATTTTCGTAGCTGCTTTAGCTATCGTTGCTTTTGCTAATGGGTTTTTCATGGTAGTTGAGGGTTATTTCGTAACAAAAAAAAATATTCCAAAAGCATGGAAATGGGCTCATTATGTTGATTATCAGAAATATGCCTTCGAAGGTATCGTTAAGAATGACCTTTCTGGATTAACGTTTTTATGTGAAAAAACTGATCAAGGTTGTTTTTGTTTACATGGAGGAGAAACTGCAATTAAAAATTGTAATTTTTCTGGACAAAATATTTTGGATGATTTGGGTTATGGGGAAGTTGTCATATATAAATGGGTGGTATGTACGCAAATCAGTGGTTAACCTGTTTATCTGATAAATTTTTATTAATTCTTCTTCTCTTCTATACCATTTAGTTCGCACTTGTTGGATTAGTACTCGCTTTCCGTGTCGGTTTTTATTTAGCCTTACTTCTCCGAAAAAACCGTCATTAAAAAAAAATCACTCGATTCAATAAATTATGTTGAATTTTTATCTCAATAATTAAATTATGCTAATCTATTTTAATCAAATTTAATCTTAATTACCTTAATCAATATAATTAATAAGGTCTCAAATATTTTTACTTATTAAGAAAAAATGTTATGATATTCTTTGAACAATTAGGGTAATACCTACCGAACATAATCCAAAGTAATTAATTTTACCGTTAAAGTTATCAAAGAATATTTTATATTAGTACTTTAAAAATTAATTTATCATGATAATTACTTCTTTTTTCATAGTTTATTAATAATTATATATCATAAATAAACAAAAAAAATCTAATTAATACATATTGACAATTAGAAAATACCTTATTTAACTACAAAATCCTGTTACTTAAAATTTAATAACTCTTAAAAGCGTTTGCATTTGGTATATTAAATTTTAAATTTTAAATAAGGCTTTATATTAATACTAGCAATTCTACCCGGGGTCGCTATCAAGACGGGAAAAAATGTAAGGTTTTAAACATATTAATTTGAAATAAATATTAACATACCCCCGCGAATTTTGAATAGTTTTTTTTTAATTATTCAATATACCCCCACGAATATTTTTTTTTTTTTAGTTTTTCAGTTTTTATTTATTAATTTTAAATGATTTTTTTTAATACCCACTCCGCTTTTATTTTTATTTTTTATTTTTTAATTATTTAATTTTTTTAATTTTAGTTTTATTAAAATTTGATAATGATTTTTTTTTTAATATTCAATATAATTATTTTTAATTTTTTTTTATTATTTGAGACAAATGTGATTTTTTAATTGATTTTTTTCACGGTATTTTATTAATAAAGGTCTAATAACACAGAAATTTTCGAAATTTCCTGGTATTTCTTTAATAAATTGTTCCTATAACCCGCTAATTTTCCAAATTCAGAAACCCAATTGGTATAGCATGAAGTATATTAGCGTCTTATATATAGGTAGGACTAGCGATTTTTTAAATTATTTTATTTTTTATTGATTTTTAATATGATTTATAATTTTAGTTATTTAAATTTATTTTTGGTTTAATATTATTTTTATTAAATTTTTTTTTGAATTTTTTTTTTTTTAAATTTTTTATAATTTAAATTTTTATTCTTTATTTTTATTTAATATTTTATTTTTTTGGTCTAATTTTTTTACGTATAAATCCTCTATAATAGAAACCTTATTACAGTAAAAATGGAACATACTTGTAATACTAAACTTTTTTAATTATATATAAAATTAAAATTTTAAATCTTAAAATAAATAAACCTTGATTTGCAATTTTAGAATTTTGATAATTTTTATTAACATTTTATTATTAATTAACACTTTTGTAATATTACACAGATTATATATATTCTTAATTTTAATTAATTTCAGGTAAATTTAACTTAGTAATAACTTGAATAATATCAGTTTAATTTTTTTTCTTTACTTTATAATTTTAAAAAAAAATAAATTGTTAATAAATAAAAATTATGGTATTGTATACATTAACCCTTTTTAATATTTTTTATAACAAATTTTTTTACATAGTTTAAAATTTTTTTCATTAATTAATATCCTTATTATGCATATCAAGATCACTAAAAATCAAAAATTTAATAAATCAAATGACAAATTTACAACTAATAAACATAAAAAATAAAAATTCTAATTTTAAATTTAATAAATTTAATAATAATATTCTGAAAAAAGTGATTATAATTCTAATGAATTTATGAATTAAAAAATAAGGTGTTTAATAGAATTGCAAAACTTAAACAAAAAAAGCATTATATACTAGTAATTTAACTTCAATATATTATTGTAAATATGAATTTTAAAGAGAATTTACTGTAGTAGCAAAGGAAATAAACTCACTTACTATTTTTAAACTATTAAAAACTTAATTAAGAATGAGCTTACTTTAAATTTAATAAATAATCTTAATGAATAAGATAGCATTAATATTAAAACAGCAGTTTTAAATAAATAAAATTATATAAATAAAATAAATAGTTTAAATAAATATAATTTAATGAATGAAAATATTTTATCAAAAAAAAGTGCAAATAATGAAATGCAAACCATTAATGATAATGATTTTAATTTAAAATTATAACATATTATTTCAGATAATCAAAAAAATCAAATTATATATAATCATTTAAAATATCGATCTATATATACATATTTTAAATATTAAAAAAAAGATAGATTAACTTAAATTAAAATAAGTAAAAAAGTATCAAAAGAAGTTTATAATAAAGGAATTTACAAATCTAAGGTTATTTAAAAACTAAATAATTATTAGATTAAATATAATTTATTACCTATTTCATTATAAGACTGTTATCAAAAAACTAAGTCATTTATTGTTAAATGAAAATATTATCAATTGTAATTTAACATATATTTATGCTAATAATAAAAAATAATATTATAAGAATATAAAGAAATGTGATATTAGAACTTTTCTCAAATAGATATAATAAATCTATATAAAATTAATAATAATAAAGACTGCAAAAATAAAGCTTTACAAATTAAATTTGAATTTACAATCATAAAAAAAAGTATTTATTTTGATATATATGAATATGAAACTTTTTAGAAATTATATTAGAATATGAAAAGTTAATGCTAATGTTTATTAAAAATAAATGTAAATGATTTTATTAAAGCTTGAGAATGAAGAAAAATTACATATTTTAGTTATACATTATAAGTGTTTTTTTTATATTAATAATAATCTTTTATTATATAAACTTTATTAGATAAACTGCTATTTAGAAAAAAAATCCAAAAAATTTATAATAGTTAGTGAATTTTTATTAAAAATTATTAGATAGCTTAAATTTATTAATAAACTTACTACAAATTATCTAGATATTTCTAAGAAAACAAGAAAATATTTATGTTTAAGTAAAAATGAGAAGGGTTAATAAATTATAAACTATCTTTTAAATTAAGTAAAAAATTTAGTAATTTCAATTTTTAATATATTATATCCTAATATAATAGCTATTTTTATGTTTAATAATAGTATTAACTATAGAATAATAATAAAAATAAATTAAATACTTTTAATATAAATTTAATTTAAATGACAAAAAATTATATATATATATGATTTACTATAAACCTAATCAAATATTACAATCTATAGTTTTTTAAAACTTAGATAATATATATAAAATTTATAACAGATTTATATAAAATTAAATACTTTTTGCTTCTTTTAAAATTGGTCAAATTTGTTCAAATTAAAATATCACTTTTAAATTTATATATAATTTGCTAAAACTTGAAATATGACTTTAATAATAATAAATTATTATATTTTAATATACTTTTTTAATTATTTTAATTTTATTTTATTATTAATCAACAAATTATATAAATAAATTACTTTAAAAATAAAAATATTTCTATTTTATTTTATATATAATTTATATATTAAATTTTAAATTCATTAAAAGTTTTTTTAAGAATTAATATTTTTCATTAATATTAATATACTGTATTTAAAAGCTAAATGGTAAATAATATGTAAAATTTTAATATAAGAAAAAATACAAAAAGAAATGATCTTAAATTTCTAAAAATAGCACTATTAATATGAAAGTAAAATTATATATATATATAAGAATGAGATTTAAAATTTGAAATAGGTATATTAATTTAAAAATACATTAAAGTTTTTTTATACAGTCAACTTTTATTATAATGAACTTTATGTAATTTCACTATAAGGCTATAGTGAAGATTTTAAAAGATTTGATTAGCTAATTTATTATAATAAGAGTATTTTTATTATATTTATTTAAAAAATTTATTATATTAAGAGTTTGCTATATCAAGAGTTTACTATATATAGTAATAATTTGAATAACATAAAGTATTTATCAAATAGAATTTTGAGCATCATCTTTTAACTAGAATGATAAAGAATTATTCAATAGAATAATGAGAAATTATTGACTTAAATAATAAAATAAAAATTGTTTAAAAGAATAATAAAGAATTATTCAACCTGAATAATAAAAAATTATTTAAGAAGAATAATGTAATTAATGAATTTGACATAGTAACATTAAATTTACCTATTATATTTCATTATTTTTTAAGAAAATTAAGAAAAAAACAATTCACTAATATTTAAAAAAATAAGTTTACATCATTCTAGTTGAAAAATACACTATTATTTTAATTAAATAATCTATTATTATTCTAGTTAAATAATACATCATTGTTTTTATTAAATGATACTTTATTATTTAAAATAATCATACCTTCTAAATAATTTTTGTTTTATTATTTAATTAAATGATTTTTCATTATTTTTCTTGAATAAATATTTTATTATTTAAATTAAATAATTTTTTATCATTCTTCTTGAACAATTTTTATTTATTATCAAGTCAAATGATTCTTTATCATTTTTTTTAAATGATTATTTTATCATTCAAATTGAATAATACTTTATTTATTCTTTTGAAATAATTTTATTTTATTATTTAAATTAAATAATATCTAATTATTTTTAAAAATTATTTTATTATTCAAATCAAACAATTTTTTGTCATTTATTTTAAAATAATTTATTTGTTATTCAAACTTATTTGTTCTTTTTAAACAATTTTAATTTATTATTTAAGAAATAATAAATATTATTTTAAAAAACAATAAATATCATTTGATTAGAATAATAAAAATATCATTTTAAACAAATAATAAAAAAATCATTTGATTAGAATGATAAAAATATTATTTCAAAAGAATAATAAAAGAATTATTTGATTGAATGATAATATTATTCAATAGAATAATAAAAATATCATTTTAAATAATCATTAAATAATCGTTTAATTAAAATGATAAAGCATCATTTAATTAAAATAATAAAAGTATTATTTTAAAAGAATAATAAATATTATTTGATTAAAATGATAAAAGCATTATTTCAAATAATAATAAAAGAATCATTT